TTCATTTTGACGTTGAAATTTGCCAGATTGGTTATGTTGTCTTTGAGAGCATACCGTAGCCCAGGAATGAGAATTACCCACATGATGGCATAACATTTGCAAAAGTAGACAACCCAAGGTATTGCAAGTAGGATATGTCAAGTCTTTCTTAGTAGCCACTTAGTCACAAACACTGGCCAAATATTAGTTTTTTGCTTTTTTCACACAAAAACCAATATGAACGCTAACTTTGGCCATTGTTTGTGACTACGTGGCTACTAAAAAAAGACTAAACATACCCCACTTTCAATACCTTAGGTTGTCTACTTTTTCAAATAGTATGCCATTATGGGGGTAATTCTCATTCCTAGGCTACCACACCATCTCAAAGGTAACATTACTAATCTGACAAATTTCAATTTGAAAATGGAACGTACTATATTGGACCCTGTAACTTTCCAAAACACCATAAAACCTGTTAATGGGGGTACTGTTGTACTCGTGAGACATCGCTGATTACAAATATGTGCATTTTGTTGCAGTAAAACCTAACAGTATTATGACATTCACAGCTAAAATGTCAGACGGAAATACAAATTTAAAATAAAATCTTTTTTTTCTCACTTTTTTTAAATTTTATTCATAATAAATTATGTTCCATATATGAATAGTTAATGATGATTGTGTGTTATTAATTCTATTTTGTTTTTATTTCAATGATTCTTTTAGTTGAGCGTAAAACAATATATCTCACCACGAGTATCCAAAATGGAATTCATGACATTGTCAACAGTTTAAATATAGAATACGAGAGAAACAATACCATTGGAGGTTATTTTTTCTGTCTCCAGAAAGAAAAGAAAGTTGTACTCTCCCCCCAAGGATCCAGATTGCAGGAAGTGAGTTCCATATTTTTCAATGAGTTTTCGATAGGCAGTGTATTCATAAACTGAGGGGAGATTGAAGAGTTCTATCCAGAAAGGTTCAGCAAGAGCTAAAAACTCAGCATCGTTATTTATGAATTGAGCCACTTCCACATAATTCTTGATAATCATGAGCTGGTAACTCTGAGAAAAAAGGAGAAATCATTTATTCAAAGAAGACTATAAAGTACTGAAATTAAGAATAACATGAATGCTGTCACTTGCAATTTCTTTTATACTTCTACTAAACCTTTCCACAATCTCTTTTCCTACTTTATATTTCTTTTCATTTTCAACCAGATCACAAATGTCTTTATACATAGTCTGCCACTCCCACTAATCTCAGGCAGCATTGTGACATATGAGTACTACACATTAACCCCTATACTACAACAGCACAAGCACTTAAACATTAACTCTAACACATTACACTAACACATTAACCACTATGCTACAATAAAACTATAACTTAAACATTAACCTTACACTACAAATCCTAACCAAAAAATATCATATCATATAAACGATAATAATGATGAAGTATGTTTTAGGAAAATATTCTTGTCTCAGGGGTTTGGAGAAATCTGTATATTTTTCTTTTAATCCTCATTACAGATTTTGCCTTTTATCTTAAAGAAGCAAGGTGAATTGTTAGTGTAGAACTCACCTAAGAGGTTTTGCCTTAACGTGGCAGATGAACTTGCACTTCAATGGCCATTGGAGTGATTCTAACCACCTCCAGAGTAAATATTAAGCTTCTGCTTCCCATTGAGATATAATGCTATATATAATAATCCCGTGTGCCTTCGAGGGCTCTTATCAGTAAACAACCCCTCTATCTAGAGGTAAAACGGAGCACACTACTACTTAAAAAAAGAAAGTAACCACACTATCTAATCCCAAAAGTGCTACAAACTCGTTTCTCTAGTGAAAAAAATCAAACACCGTTAAAAATGTGGTTGGGTGTAAGCGGTGCCCTCGCAGTACACTGATTTGTAATGAACAGAAATAGATCTTAAATCAAAGGATACACACGCAGCCCTTGACATGCGCCTTTCGCCCTAGCTGGTGGATTTAGGATAGTGCACATATAAATTTTCTTTGGTCTTTATTGTATGGACTTGTCCTTCATGTTCATAAATCTGGATATGATGGGATCAGGAATGAAAATATGGACACTTATTAGGTTACTCTATACATGGTCTACCATCAGAGTGTGAGTCAACAGGGCCTTGTCTGGCACGGTGCACATTATCAAGTGCATCCCTGAGGGTTGCCCATTGTCCCCCATTTTATTTGCGGTATCTCCAGAGCCCATTCTTATTACTATTCAAACCAATCTAAATATAAAGGCTTTCAGCCTGGTGAAGACGTTGGCCTTTCTTAGAAGATTAATTTGTGGGACCAACCTTGCTCTTTTCCTTGTGGTTGGCAAGGAGGTTTGCTCTTTTCACACTGCCCAATTTCATGCACAACCTGGCCTTTCAAGGAGGGCTTTCTTCATTCCCTATTCCCTTTAGGAAGATGCCCCATTCCCTACCCATCTCAAAGCTCCTCTCCGGGGACAAGTTAAAGAGCTTATGTGCCCACACTAACCAACCCACAGCTATGTCCCAGTTCCATTACTTGCACTTACAATATTTAATTTGCGCTTTTCCCAGTTAAGAACACCTTTGCAGTCCCCAACATCGTTTGAGCAATGGTGCCCCCTAGAGGAGCGCCTTCATCGAGATATTTCTGAGCTGTACACATTGCTACTGACAAAAGATCTTCTTCTGCCACACATGTACATGTACCACTGGGAGGATGCGCTGAGGCAAGTTTTTAGTGATGAAAAGTGTACAAAATTGTTTATTTTAAACCATCAGATTCTCTCGTGGTGGTATAGGATCCCCAAGCTTTTACAATTAATTTTCAGAAATCAGCCTAGCTCTTGTTGGTGCTGTGTGACAGAAGTGGGTACTCTGCTGTATATCTGGTGGGAGTGTTAAGAGATAGTGCCGACTGAAGGAGCATCCACTCTACTTTGTGCCGCTTACTGGAGAGTCCTCCCTCTTTCAACCTGCAGAATATCTACTGCATTATACTAAATTGCTCATTTATATCTATAAAAAATATCTGCTCAAACATTTCCTGACAGCTGCCAAGACTCTGATCCTGGTCCTCTGGAGGAGCACTCACCCTCTGACAATCCAAAAAGGTGCCTAAGGTCAAGGAAATTAATACCATGGAGGAGATGACAGCCTTCCTATGCCAGAGACAGGAGTGTTAGCTCTCCATTTGGGCCGCACAGGTGGATTTCCTGGATGGGGGACATCTGGGGAACAGGAGTACAGGTTCTGGGGTTGCAAAGGGGGTGGGTATCGGCCTTCCTGTTTCGTGTCCCTCTTATTCTTAGCTACTTGCCTTTTCTGTCTTTTCCCCCTGCTTTTCTTCTCTTCTCCCTTTCTCTCCCATGCGGGTAGTCTGCCCTTTACCCTATCCCACTATCTTTTGTGCATTATTCGTAGTTCCCCTACCAAAACACATCAACCTCTGCATTTAGTCCAAGGCTTGCTCTGCTCTACCCGGGTCAAATTAATTTGCATTTTGAGACTACAGAATGATGTGCACCACTTCTTTGTTGTTCCCATTGACTCTTTTTGGAAGGTCTCTAGTACATTTCTAGGATTTCTACCTCTTGGTTACCATATTTCAGTTTTCTTTGCCTTTGCAACAATCAGATCAACGATTTAGCTCTTACCAGGATTTTTATCAAGACAGTCATATATGGAGTGTAGCTGCAGTTAGACACTGATATGCAGAGGCGGCTCTCTAATTAGGCAATTTAGTTGGCCGCCTAAGGCCTTGCGCTGTCTAAAATCGCCATAGGGCAGACTTACATGTCGGGTCCTCGGTCTATGGCCGAGGGCCCGACACAGGAGGGGGCACTGCTGCTTGCCCATAATGCTGCTGGGTGCGAGGCCCCTCCAGTCAATCTGCCCTGACGGAGAGCCAGCCTCCAATCTGCAGCTCCACTGGGAGTAAGCTGCAGACTGAGGTGTCTTGCGATCTCCAGCCTGTCAGACTGGAGATTGCGAGACTTACCACATTGTCTGCATCTCACTCCCGGTGGAGCTGCAGACCGGAGAGAGAGAGGGCGCCACAGGAATCCACAGGACCACCAGGAGAATCCACCGGACCACCAGGGAATCATTTTAATAATAACATTTTAAAAAAAGGTATTTATGAACCGCCTCTACCCCCTGTCACTGCTCATCCACCCTCTGCCCCTTTTCACTGCTCTTCCACCCACTCTGCCCCTGTCACTGCCCCTCTACCCCCTGTCACTGCTCCTCTACCCCCTGTCACTGCCCCTCCACTCCCCCATCCCCTGTCACCACCCATCCACCCCAACACCTGTCACTGCCACTCCACCTCCCTACCCCCTGTCACTGCCCCTCTACCTCCTGTCACTGCCCCTCCACCCCCTCTCACAGCCCTTCTACCCTGTTACAGCCCCCCCTGCCATGTCACAGCCCCCACACCCACCCTGTCACAGCCACCCACACATCTTGTCACTGCCCCTCCATCCCCTCTCACAGCCCTTCTACCCTGTTACAGTCCCCGCTACCCTGTCACAATCCCTCTACCCTCTCACAGCCCCCCCACCCTGTCACAGCCCCACCAACCTGTCACAGTCCCCCCTCCCCTGTTACAGCTCTCCCACCCTGTTACAGCCTTACTGGCCGTGGCATGACAGCTCCCCACCCTGTCACTCCCCTCACACTCACACTCTGTCACCCACAACCTATCATCCCCACGCACACACACCTTGTCACATTAACCTAATCCTGCCACATTAACCCCCTTAATCTTGTAACACCCATCTCCCCTCATTCTGTTACACTGCCTCCTCCAAACATGGCACATTTACCCCACAACTGTGATACACCCCCTAAATGCCAAACGCAGACTGTCACATTAACCTCCTCTGATCCTATCACACTTACTTCCCCATGTCCTGTCACACTCCCTCTTTCAACCATGTCACAATCGCCCCCCTATCATTCTCACCCTGCCTCATTCTGTCACACTCTCCCCCCAACCCTGTCTCATTTACCCCCCTCACCATGTCACACTCACCCTGCCACAGTTACCCCTTTACTCACCTTGTCACAGTCCCAAACTGAAAACATTCATCATACACACATGCACAAAGGTCACAGGCAGCCCCATAAACACCACACACCACAAGCAGCTACCCCACACATAAATGGTTCCAGACACATGCTCAAAAAGACATTCATACACAAGGATACTCTCAGTCAGACACACACTTTCATGCACATACGCAGGTAGACAATGCCAGACACACTCAGAAATACACACACCAGCAGTAATGTATACACAACTGAAAGGGTATGTAGTCATACTCCCCAGTCGTGTATAAATGATTAGCATAATTGCTAATTAAATTTGTTTTTTTGCAAATAATTTAGTTTGCAAATAATGCCATAATTACAGTCGGAGAGCTCACAACACAGTGGCACTGCAAACCTCTGAACAATGAATACAGAGACTAGCTCTCTGTATCCAGCTCTGCGAGCTCGTCCTTCAATACAGCTACAGCATGACAAATGTACCTTAACACACAAAAAAAAAAAAAAAGACTGAAACATAACATCAAAAAAGCGAGTAATTCATTATGATATTATTTTTATGGATTTAAAATATATTTTTTAATTAAAATGCAAAAGATCAACTTCAAGGCATGTTGCACAGATATATCACTAAGTTACAGAGTGTAAAATGGACAATTACTGCATGCTCTCCTCCATATTATGTCTCCTTTTTTATATTGAGAATTCATTTTATTAACCTTTGTATTTACCTTTTCTTTTGTATTGCTTGTATATGTGGAGTCATCACTGTTATAATTGTAGTTAGTCCTTACAGTGGTTGTAGTACTTTTGACGTAAGACCAGCTGCTATTGTAGAAGTCGTAGTTAAAATCGTTTTTTGTTTCTACCTGTGAGGGATTACAATTGTTTAGGAATTCCTTTAATTTTACCTTCCTTTAATTAATCTTAATTTTAGATTAAAAACAGATTCAAGCTAAAACCAAAAAAAAAGTTCAGCTATTCAAACATAATTCTGCTGTTAATTCTAAAGAAGACAAAAAAAAACAACGGAAATTTGAAGTGAAAAAAAGCGGTAAGAAATCCTGTTTCGCTCCAAAACACAATTTCTCATTGTGTCAACAAGCTGTTACAATGTATATTAATGATTACGTCCTTCAATATTCTGTATTATTTTAAAAAGAAATACAAATAAAGTGACAATTTTATATTCCACACATAATGCAAATCTTCGCTTTACATTAAAACCAATTTTTTTATTTTTAAAGGAACAATCAAGGCACCAACACCAATTTTGCATTATGCTTGGAATTGATGGAGTTATAGGTGAGAAAGACACAGTTGCAATTTATTTCTTTTTCATAGACTATTGCCAATCACATTTCTAACATTTTAAATAGAGTTAAAAAGCTAGTGTGCAATATGCATGCTATCCCTTGCAGTGCTGGGTTAAATATATCCATACTTCAGATTTTATAGAGTAGAATTGGTGGCTTCTGATAAGCCAAACTACTTCCTGGTGTGGGAAGACCTCATAGGAAACCAAGAGTGCTTGCCCTTTACCATTGATGGACAATGTGAAAATATATAGGGACTGTAAACTGCAGATATCTGAGTTGGGGGATTAAAGCCTAAATGGGATGATAATGGGATATGAGGGACAATATTCAAATGGAGAGAACTATACCTGGATTAGTAGCACAGGGAAAATAGAAAGGTGTTACATATCAAACAACTTTATTTAAATGTTTATGTTCTAACCCTTAAATATTCTTTGTATCAAACAACTTTATTTAAATGTTTATGTTCTAACCCTTAAATATTCTTTGTATCAAACAACTTTATTTAAATGTTTATTTTCTAACCTTTAAAATCGTTGCATACCAAACAACTTTATTTACAAATGGTGTTTTTTCCTAACCCTTACTTACATTATAACACTGACTTTTGATGGGTTTTTTTCCTGGCCTATGCAGTAATCGAAAATACTACTAACAATAGTAACTACTACCTTACTACCAAACTCTATTTGAAGCTACAAAGTCCATAGTGTGATAATTTGTTGAAAGCTTTAACCTCTATGTGAATGCTTTGGAGACATAAAGTTACAAAGAAACATGATAGCATAGCTAATTTGCTATATATTTTAAATATAAACTTAAAGAAAATCAAATAAATATATAATACATGAAACATATAAAACCAAACTATCTACGACAGACAAAACAAAAAACAAACAAAAACCACATAGGGTAGTATTGTATGGATGCCATAAATTCAATAGGCAATTATTGCACTCACAATATAATTGCATTCATATTGTTTGTGAGTGCAATAATTGTCTATTGAATTTATGGTATAAAATACGACCCTATGTGATTTTTTTTGTTTTGTTTTGTTTTGTCTACCGTGGATACTTTGGTTTTATGTATTTTTTTGAGAACTTAGAGGAGTCCTAATCTGTCTACAGTTGATTGAGGGAAAGGGTAATGCTATATATATATATATATACCCCTTCACTGTGTGCTTTCCACATTTTAATTAATGGGTGTTTTACTTTTTGGTTTGTAATAAATGCAACATACCTTGAATGTGTAAGCCAGAACATTTTCACTTAACCTGTAGAAATGTCTGTTATCAGCGTTAAAAACTTTGCGACACTTTCCACCAAAACTTTTTGTATGAATAACCCCACTCTTTAATTCTTGAGTTCGGACATCAAAACTGCAATAAACATGGTATAAGAAATATGTGAACAAAAAAAGGAAAATGCAAAAAAAAAGAAAACAAAGTAGATATCATCAGTCCCTGCCAAGCAGACCAGTTAATAAAGTATAGCATATAACGGGAGTTCTTCCCATTATAATTGCATCCATATCAAGACAGGTTAAGTTATCCAGAACATATTCAAAAATAATAGCAACTATAAGAATAGTTCAGGAACCAGGACAACTTGCAAGCATAAATAGGCTTGAGGTACGATAATTTACCTGTATATTATATATCATTGCTGTCCAGGTAATGCAAAAAATAAGGCAAGTAAAATCAGCAGCAGCAAGGTTCCTAGACAGAATATATTTTAGCATGGTTTTACATGTGTATAACTCAGATTTATTTGTACTGAACCCTCATTGGCTGAAATATTTCATACACTTTTCAGGTGTTGCAGAGGTCAGTGGCATTATGAACAAATTCTGGAGACTGCCTGAAATGTATAGGCCTTACCAAGTTGGGCATTGTTTAATACGTTATTCTAGTATTGCAAATTTTCATGCACAGTCTATAGTATTCATCAAAAGGGGATAATGTCAATTTCAGCCTGGAGTAAACTTTTAAAGGGACACTATAGGCACCTAGACCACTTTATCTCATTGAAGTGGTCTGGGCGCAATGTCCCAATCCCCGATCCCTGCAAGTGAAAACATTTCAGTTTTAGAGATTAATTTGCATGGTTAAGACTGCCTCTAGTTGCTGTCTCCAAAACAACCATTAGAGGAACTTCCTGTATTTTCACATAGTTTAACTACATGAAATGATGCTGCACATCCTCATGGTCTGCATGAGAATGTCCAGTATCTTGCAAAACCCCATAGGAAAGCGCATGGCACTCGCTTCACATGTGCATCAGTTTCCTGGATCTTACTGACATGGGAGGTTACCTAATCAACACCGAGGGACCTTGGCACTGGACTCAGGTAACTCTTTAAAGGGTTTTTTAACCCTTTCATGGCTCGGTGGGGAAACTGAGGGGGCTGCAGAGGCAGATGAACACTATTGTGTTCATATAGTTTTGTATTTCTAACGCTATAGTATTTCTTTAATGATGAAACAAGGACTTTGTTTCCATATGGTTTAACTATTCCTTGGTGGGATATTGATGAAATATTTTCTACCTGGTCAGACGGGTATCTAGATTAAATGACAGCCGAGGAGGAAATGTATTTTTACAAAAAACTTTTTAAAAACTCTTTTGTTAGGGAAATTACATGCACATACTGACATTATTATTCATGTACACATTCATATATGATGTACTTACATTTATGTACACACATACATTCACATAAACACACATGGATACATATACACATACACATACACACACATTGATACACATAGACTCATACCTACTCACATTCATATGCACACACAGAGACTCAGACCCACACTTTCACATACACATACATTCATGTACAAAGACAGACTCATACAAACACCCACAGTCAGTGCCAGATTAAGATTGCCCAGAGCCCTAAGCAGGGAGCCAGATTGGGCACCCCTCCTAAAGCCCTGGGCTCTGTTTCTGTGAGTGTTTTGTGTGTGTATTGGCTGAGTCTGAGCCTGAGCCCTAGGTGGTCTCCTTATAAGTAATCAGGCTCTGTATATAGATTAGTACACACACATTTATATATACACACTCATACACACACAGTGACTCATACACACACATACTTATATACATACACACACATGTTTTTTATTTTATTTATTTTTTTCATTAAAAAAACATCCATCCAGTCTTCCCTTGATTAATTTTTAAGGGAATCTCATGTCCATTATTGAGCTAATGGGATAATTTTTTGCACTGATTGCCCAGCTCCTCTGTACTGATGCCGGGACTGGGTAACATCATATCCCAGGTGCAGTATCAGTACAGAGCATACAAGGGAGCTGGTTAATCGGTGTAGATACTGATCTCCGAAGTTCCCTCAGCACAAGACCACAGCCGTTACGGTAGAAAGGAACCCATGCAATAAACATGCCTGTAGGCAGGTGCCTGCTCTGATAGGAGGGGGTTCTCTGTGACACCTGACACCTGGGGCAGACCACCTTGCCCCACCTTGATAAATTGTGGAAATTGGTACTAACCTTCAGTTACAGGTATCGCCACTACTACTACTACACTCACATACATACTCTGATCATGCACTACAAGACAGAGACAGACAGACATACAGATTCAACAGATTCAACATACAGATTCATACATTTTAAAGCTTTTTATATTGGAAATTGAAATATGAGGAATATAAAATAATTGTATTATTAAAAATGTTCTCCCTCCTTCTTCTCCCTTTTGTGTATGTTTGATCGTGCACAGCAATGACCTACTACAGCACACAAAACAAAAATCCCAACATAATTTATTTTCCTGCTATAGAAATCCTTATACATTTTAATTTGAAGGAAATCTGTTTTCCAATCTATGTTCCACGGTGCTTTCGAATTTGGAAACGCTGGGTTTCATTTCTATTTAACTAAATTTGCTGGATACTAGTACAATAAAAAACTTTAAAAAGAAAATACAACCAGCCCAAAAATATTCATGATCCCCGAATATAATTATCATTTTCCACTTGCAGTTTTTATTCATTATTCATAGAGAGTGTGACACGGAAAGCCAAAGTGAATAATAAAATATTGCAGTGCTCAATGCCTGCATCAAATTAGTCCAAAATGATAACGATAAGCAAGGCTTTAGTAGAAATACAAACTTGTTTTGGTCATAATTCCTTGTTCGGCTGCCAGACTGATAACATTTTACACTGTGATATGCAAATATACTTTATTTCAGTTTACAAATGATTATATTATTTTATCAAGCTTTTTGCTTTCATTTGATAATAAAAAAATATGTAATTATTGTTGCAAAAGGGCATATTCAGATTTTTACATTTTGTCAAGTTATTTATTTGATTTTGTCAGCCCTAACTAAATTATTATATAGCTAAACCACAAAAGCTAAGTTACTGAATTCCCTATTATCCACGGTTTAAAAAGGTAGTCAGGGATGGCTCACATTCTTCTCCAATAAAAGCATCCAATTGGATTAATCTAAACTGAATACATCATTGGAGGTTGGCATTGCAATGTTAAGAATCCAGTAATATGCCATTTCAATGCAAGGTCATAGATTTCAAACGATATTGCTGTTTGTGCTATTTATCAACAAGAAGCAGAAGGTTATTTGTTTTTCTTTGTATATTATCTGCTATGTACTTTCCAGTGGAGGTCAGTACTAAGGGGGCGGTTAGACGGCTGCTGCCGCCTCTCCCCCGCAGTTTTTGTGCAAAAAAATATATCACATTTACTGGCATTGTAAGGACTATTAATGTGTGTGTTAGGAAAAACAGGTATCTGTCAGGATTATATCTGCACAATCCATTCTCCTCTTTATTAATGACTGTAGATGCTGCTGGTTTTGGACAGGGGATGGCATATCATGGGGTTAATTGGGAAGAACCCAACAATCACCAGCTACCACTGATACATCCCGTGGACACCTTGGGGAAGCCTTTATGAGATATTTCAGCTGTAAAACATTCAAGGACAAAAAAAACCACAACAAAAATGATGGCTAGGGAGGCAGACACTAAATGGTGATTTTATTCACAGATCAAATAAGAATTGTGCAATAAGAGGATAAAATGATAAACGGTAAAAAAAAAAATCATATTACTATATAATATATTTATTTATTATATATTATATGTCAATATATATTTTTTTTTTACTGCTCTTCCTTATTTTTCCTCTATTAGTCACTTTTTCTCACTTGATCTGTAAACAAAATGACAGTAAAACGCGACCATCAGTGTACTGTGCATATTTTGTGGTACACTGATTCGCCCATTTCTAAACCTTATTGGTTCGTATGATTCATTTTCCCAAGTCTTTTTTTCGTGAATGAAATTCAGATGAGTCGAATAGCCATAAGGACAAAATTCCACCGTCCCAAAAACCTTTTTATTTTCAGATGAAGTGGTTTGGCCGAAACAAATTTAATATAAAGTAATGAAAATGTAGGTATAAATTATGGATCTATTGTCACATGTAGCCCAGTCTTTCTATGTATGGTCGAAATCAAGACACGCTAAATGGATTGGATATTGTTCAGGCACATTATGATTATTATTAATATTATTATCACCATACTCCACAGCATTTTATAATTATAAAATTGGGATATTTAGCAACAAGTAATTAACATATGAAATATGACAGAGACAAAAGGTGAAGAAGGCCCTCAAACAAGCTTACAATCTATGAGGAAGTGGAGTGTGAAAGAACCAAACAGTTGCAGGAGACAAAGTGAGTTGGACTATGGAGGCGAGGGAACTGGTGAAGGCTGTGAAATGAGAGTGTCTTCAATCAGGAAGATGTTAAGCTTTCCTACAGAGGTGTGTTTTCGATGACTTCTTAAAGAACTGAAGGCTAAGGGAGAGACTGATGGCATGGGGTAACAAATTCCATAGAAACTGAGCAGCAATTGAAAAATCCTACAGATAAGAGTTGGCAGTGTGAGAATGAGCAGATGTCAGAAGAAGGTCATTTGCAGAGCTAAGGGAATGAAAAGGGGTATATTTGTTGAAGTAAAGCGGAAATGTGGTGCAGAGTGGAGTTAGTGAGGGCTTTGTAGGTTTGGATCCTGAAGGGTACAGGAAGCCAATGTGATGATTGGCAAAGGGGGGAGGTGTAGGAATAGAAATCAGTCAGAAAGATGAGACAGGTTGCAGCATTCATCACAGACTGAAAGGGGCAATGTGGGTATGTGGAAGCCCAATGAGCAGTGAGTTGCAGTACTCAAGTCAGGAAATGAGGAGTGCATGAACAAGTGCCTTAGTTGTATCTTGAGTTAGACAATGGCAAATGTGGGCAATATTTTTTAAGGTGGAAGTTACAGGAGTTAGAGACAGACTGGATGTAAGGAGAAAAGGTACAACCTGGGTCAAAAGTAACACCAAGGCAGCAAGCTTGATGGCTTGGGGCAATAGGTGTCCCATTGACTTGCAAGGAGATTGATGGAGGACCTTTTGAAGGAGGAAAGATGAGGAGTTCAGTCATAGAAAGACAGGAAGACATCCAGTTAGAGATGGAAGAGAGGCAGTTTGAGACACGTTCCAGGACAGCAGGAGAGAGGTCTGGGGGTTGGAGAGGTGAAACTGAGTATCATCAGCATATAGATAGTAATTAAATCCAAAGAAGTTAATAATGTTAACGAGAGAGGCAGTATATATGGAAAATAAAAGAGGACCAAGAAGGTCCTTGGGGAACACCAACCGAGACAGCTAGTGGGGAGAGGGTGGCACCCAAGAAAGAGAAACTACATGAGCATTTAGAAAGATAGAATAAAAACCAGGAAAGTACAGTGTCAAGGAGTCCAATATTGTGGAGGGCTTGAAGAAGGGAGTGGTCAACAGTATCACAGGCACCAGCGATGTCAAGGAAAATTGAGAGAGATTAATAACCCTTAGCTTTTTTTTTTCATAATTCATGCTTGGCACTACTTGATATTATGCACTGCTGTGTTATTCACAGCAAATGATCACATTGCTTTAGATGAAAATTATTCTATATAACAAAAAGAAGAGCAGAAGAAAGGGTGCAGGAGAGTACAGTATTGCAAACAAGCCATAAGGTAAAGGTAGGCAGACAATGTAATAGAGCAGCAGGAAATGCTAGCAGAATGCTTGGTTGTATAGGGAGAGGTATTAGCAGTAGAACGAGGGAAGTGCTCATGCCATTGTACAGAACACTGGTGAGACCTCACTTGGAGTATTGTACACCGTACTGTATCTTCAGAAGGATATTGATACCTTAGAGAGGGTTCAGAGAAGGGCTACTTAACTGGTTCATAGATTGCGGGATAAAACTTACCAGGAAACGTTAAAGGAACTTAACATGTATAGCTTGGATAAAAGATGAGACAGGGGGGATATGATAGAAACATTTAAATATATAAAGGGAATCAACACAGTAAAGGAGGAGACTATATTTAAAAGAAGAAAACCTACCACAACAAGAGGACATAGTCTTAAATTAGAGGGACAAAGGTTTAAAAATAATATCAGGAAGTATTACTTTGCTGAGAGGGTAGTGGATGCATGGACTAGCCTTCCAGCTGAAGTGGTAGAGGTTAACACAGTAAAGGAGTTTAAGCACGCGTGGAATAGGCATAAGTCTATCCTAACTATAAGATAAGGCTAGGGACTAATGAAAGTATTTAGAAAATTGGGCAGACTAGATGGGCCGAATGGTTCTTATCTGCCGTCACATTCTATGTTTCTATGTTTCTATCGACATCATAATCACGAAAAGGAAATTTTAATCAGTACAATCAGAAAGAATACAGCCCATTTCGCCGCAAAGCACTTGAAGTATGCAGGATGCAAGACATCTTTACATTTATTTTTTTAACATTAAAGGGTTTCTTATTTAGGGCCAAACAATGGAGTCCCTCTTTGTCATAAAAAGTTAATTAAAACTATAAAACTTACCTGTAATCCAGCACTAGTTAAGACTTCCTTCTGCATCTGCTCCTCTTCCGACTAAGTAATTAGTTCTAATTGTCTTTTGTCCAATCTAATGCTATTATCTAAATACACAGAATCCCTTGCCTCTCTATGAAAAGCTTTAGTTGCGTTTGATGTCATCATGCTGTGCATAATGACAAACCTCGATTTAATATTGTTGAATAAGCTTACCAAATTATTTAATATTTTTGGAAAAACGTTTTAAATTATTTGTTCAAAATATTAAAATATAAAAAAATATATCCTACAGAAACATAATCTATTAATTTATCAAGATATTACAAAATTCTAAATTTAAAAGAATCTAACTATGAAACACATTACATTTTTTAAAAAGTTTACCCAAAATATTAAGTCATTTGGAAAGCTTATCCAACAATATTAAATTGAGGCCCTGATGTCAAGACCTTAGAAAATCAAAGTTTTTAAGCAGGAAGTGCCTCTACTGAGTTTCTGTCTGACTGTCGCTAGACTAGAGACATGATTTAGGAAAAGTCTAAACATTGAATTACTCAGGAACAGCAGTATTTTACATTTGTCAGAAGAAAATGGTCTATGTACCAAAACCACTACATTAAGATTTAGTGTTTCTGGTGCTCAGAGTGTCAAAAGTTGGAAAGGGACATTATGGCTGATGAATACATATAAGACACACATACTGTTCCAAACCTATAGTAAAAACTATATGCTTGCCCATTTTAATTATTTGTCCTGAAATAAAAATCTATAAAATTAGTGAGTTTAACATAATTTTACACATTTCTTTCAATGACACAAAAAAGCAAAATTAACATTAATAAACATAATAATAATATTAATATATGTATATATAATTGTTATTATTAGTTTACTTTTCAACTCTTTTTTTCTTACCCTAATCCAGTGAGTTCTGTATTAGGAGGGTACTTATCAGTATCACAGACTTTGTGTCTAACATCACAATTTGCCTCATCGGAACTGTCCTCTTCACAGTCGTGATCTCCATTACATACGAGTGATTGGCTGATACATTGACCTGAAGTGAGGGACACAATGTTGTTTTTAAGGATAGAAATATAGTTGAAAAGATATATAACAATGTTTGTGAAACAAAATTCAATTAAAGGAATACTATAGTCACCAGAACAAATACAGCTTATTATATTTGTTCTGGTGAGTAGAATTTTTCCCTTCACGCTTTTTGCAGTAAACACTGTCTTTTCAGAGAAAATGGTTCCCTTCACTGGTCACTCCTCAGATAGCTACTAGAGGTGCTTTCTGAGGAAGTGCTGCACACTGTGCAGTACTGTCATTCACTGTCTCTACCCTCTGCATGCAGACACTGAACTTTCCTCATACAGATTCAATGCATCTCTATGTGGAGATGCTGACTTGTGCTTGCCCTGCCCCTGATCTGCCTCCTTGATAGTTTCAGCCAATCCTAGGGGGAAGCATTATGATTGACTCAGACCACCACATCTGATGATGTCAGTAGACAGCAGGCAGGTCAGGGGCAGCAGCTGCAGATTTGAATACAAGTAAGTTTTTACTATATTTAGGGAGACAAGGGGGTGTGAGGGGGGCTAGATGGTGGTTTTAACACTATAGGGTCAAGAATACATATTTGTGTTCTTAACCCTGTAGTGTTTCTTTAACTGATTATCAGTTCTCCAACTGATATGTATGATAAAATTAATATTCTGTTATCAGAGATGTGGTTATCTAACCCTAAGATATATCTTGCACAATCCATTTAAACACCACTCCCAGTAAGAATGACAAGACTTATTGGCTTTTTCCGCCTTTTCAGCTTAATCTGTCTATAATCATTCTCAAATAATATATATTAAATAATTTCTAGATGGATCTTATTTAGAGTGCTAAATTTAAATTACTTCCACCAAAAAATAAGGATGAAATGAATATAGTGTCTATTGCTGATAAATTGTAATAAAATAATAAAACCAAACCAGTCTGAGTGACATTGAAGTGCGAAGTGCAGAAAAATTAAACTGAAGTTTAATAGCAGCTGTTGCTGTCATCTCGGCAATGTTAAATAAGAAAAATAGGACAATAGACTTTTACTTTAGTAGAACAGTGCCTCCCAGTGGTAATAACATCAACTTCAACAAAAGATACGTTTTCTGAAATTTGCTACTAAGTTTGGGCATCAGTTTAATTGTATGCATTTCCTTTAATTGGTAATTAAACATCATCTAAATTCTTCTTGGTAATCTATATGATTTTATTCCAAATTTCTAATTGTTCTTATATCTTTATTATTATTATTTTATTACTTATATAGCGCCAGCAAATTCCGCTGTATAATGGGTGGACTAACAGACACGTAAGTGTAACCAGACAAATAGACGCACAGGAACGAGGGGTTGAGGGCCCTGCTTGATGAGCTTACATGCTAGAAGGAGTGGGGTATAGCGACACAAAGGGTATAAGTAGAGGTAATGAAATAGGTTCCTAGAAAAGTATTCACTGAAATTTTAGTAGGTTATTTTTGACTGTTGCAGGAAAGGAGTCATTGGGAGAGGGGAGAGAATGAAAACCTGCTAACAGTTTAAAGGATATGCACTCCTGAAGATGTGTGTTTTCAAAGATTTTGTGAAGGAATTAGGTTGATGCACACTCACGGGTAAACTTGCATAGCTTACCAACCAGTCATTGGGCGCAACATGGAGGCAAAATTAGAGCTGACAACTTCTTTAATATTCTAACTGCATATTAGCATGCCATTTAACCTTTTGGGGGCAAGGGTTGGCAAATCTCTTGTTAATATGATGATAATCATGAAACGTCTTTGGTCCTAAATGAGTTAATAATATAATTTTTGTTCGATAGTGCCTACCACATTACTCGCCCAACCACACTAGCTGGACACAAGTCCAACTTACTACACCCTCCCCCTACCCCCTTCTCACGCTCTGGCCCCGGTCCACACAGTGTTTTGAGAATCCGAGCATAAAACACCAATATCTAAAATAATTAGCATGGAGTAGTTGCCTTTTGAAGTAGCCATCATTAACTAGAGCAACCCCAATATAACAGAAGGGCACCCCCAACCTGCAAGGGATCACGAGGGAGACACAGATGAGAAAGCGTACCTGGGAGATATTGCACAGCTGTTAGATAGGGAAGACGGGTCCAAAAATGACCCTCTAGGAGGGATACAACAGTAGAATTCGTAAGGGGAACCAGGACAAATCTAGATTGAAGAGAACAGTAGCAAGGCACGTGGGTAGACCTTTTATTGGAATCGAAGGTGAAAAATAATAAACCCAAGAAATGGCAACAGCCAAAGATCTTAAGGTAGAATCTAACCATGCAAAGTTTATGCTGTCACTCTATATGTAAATGAACGAAAAACGTGACAGAAAGAGAAAACAGTAAACTTAAAATCTGCACAATGGTATTAACACCTAATAACACATTTTCTGTATTAATGTGAAACCACTGAAAAATAAGGATCCTGGCTTCTGCGCAAGCCAATGTACTGCTCATATGCCTGTTTCTTCGTTCTGTCTTTGAAAATAAAGAATTCCCCCCAAAAAAATATCATACAAAGAGAACTTGAGATGAAGAGGACGCCTTACGTGCCATATAATGAGAGAATAAAAGACGTTACGAACTTAATTAAAAAGTGTAATTTAATAAATTATCTTTTCAGTTGCTCTAAAACAATATTGACAACAATCAAGCTTTATTACATGGTCTATTACACAGTATAATTGTTTTTTATGGATAAGTTGACAAACAGTGAAGTTTTTGTTCAATGGAGTTAAACTTTTTATCTTTCTTACCAACTCATACAAATGTGTTGATATGCAACTGCTAACGTTGACTGAACACTTGCAAGTCCAATGATGGTTCCATTCATAGAGACAGGAATTGTCTTTGGACTTTCACATAATGCATGTTGAGAGCCAAGAAGTATAAGTTGTTAGTCTTTGATTGACAGGGCTTCTAGGTGAAGCTACAAACTCATCTTTAGATTCCAGTAGTGAACAACTTGGTAATTCATTAAATGAGAATTATCAGGAATTAAAAGTCAATTTCACATTTAAGGCCAAGGTAGCAGAAGTTAGAAACTGAGCTGAATTGAGGATTTATTTCCAGTTCAGTTATGTATTCTTGAAATTTGGAATTCATCTTGAAATCCAGATAATTCTCACTTTAGTGAATAATCCTGTTGGGGAACTAAAGCGTGTGTTTGTTAAGACCGTATTCTAGCACCACAACTATTTCAGTGCACCCTTAATAAGTCCACAGATAGACTGATACTAAACAGAGGAGGAGATAATGATTTGTGGCACCATGAGAAAGCATCAGTTTGGCTTCTTTAAGATCAAGAGCTCGATCTAGGAGAGTAGATAAAATATGATGGTACACAACACATGGGGAGTTTACTGATTATTTAAACACACTTTGGCTCAATACATACAGCTTTGTGAAGTCCTCTCCAGCACAAATTTTCATGCAATAAAAGGAGCTGCACTGAAAGTTCAGAAAATAATTGCTGCACTGGCAGCTGCAACTGGGAGTCTAAAACCTTCAAATCACAGGCCAATCACAATGAAAATCTCCTCTCTTTCATAATCTACAGTAAACTCCATTTATTCTAGTAGTCTTTGTAATTTTTCTAGGCAGCTTTAGAACCCATAAACCTGTTAAAGGACCCCACTTCTTATGTTTTTCTTTTCTTTTTCTTACGCAGTTATTGTAAGTTTCTTTACTTTTTCAACAATCTCCTTTGCGTCTTTTTTTCTTTTTTTCTCCACAAGTTTTTGTTCTAGTCCTCTACCCCCACAATTTCTTTGTGTGCACCTCTTTAATATCAGAAAGCATGAACTCACATTCCACTTCCTGCAGTATTCATGAAGGAAAAGGTTTTACAATAAAAGGCTCCCCAAAGTCCCTTATTGATATTACCGTCATCTCCAATCGACAAGCATTCTACGGCCAGTGCACTGTAACTCTACCACAAATTAGACAATAAAAGAGGAAAGAGCAGTGTACAATATTCATTGAAAATTACTTACATTTATAAAAACTAATAAGATTGTGGCTATACTGTGATACGTTTATTCACATGTTTCAAGCTCCAATTGCAGAAAATGCTGGCAGAACACAATTTAAAGAAATATGCATCACTTTGGAACAACCGTCTCATTCAAAAGTTTTAGGTTTGAATGAGACAGTCGCCTCCCTCTGCAAGCTGAAAAAAGAAGGAAAATATGATTTTTGTTTTTCATGTTTAACTTCTTCTTCTTTTGTATGCTTTCCACACCCACACCAGGGGAGACACTGATCTAACCAATAAGTGTCATATCCCTAGGAATGCTGAAACAGTGCACTGGGCATGCCTGGGAAGATTTATTCCCCTTGCAACATACGGACAAGGGGAGATGAAAGTCTGGTCAGTGTGCTTCTTGCTGTGCGGGCTCTGAAGTTGGCGTTCTATGTTAGTCAGTGCAGGAAGACTGAAGAGTTTGCTGCTGCTACACAATAATGTTTGGTTTCTGTCATTAGTGAACTGGCTTTGACTTGCCACTGTAGCTATGTTTAGTCCTGCAATGTAAACATTGCTGTATCTCCAAATTGGCAATGTTTTATATTGCTGGACCAAAATGGCAGGGGAACTGCACCGAGACCACTTCATTGAGATGAATTGGTCTGGATGCTTATAGTGTCCTTTTAAACAATTTACAATCTTCTCCCGTCAGTTCTTCACTAGTGTCAAGCTTGTGAATAAAATTCATTGTGTCGTATAGACTTTGAGTTATAAAGCTGGCATAAATTAAAATGTATATTCATGATGTATAGAAAAGTTATTGATAAACATATATCTTCTTTTACCAATCAAACTATTTATTTTGCTAACTGTACAATGAGAAGTAACACAAACATACATTAAAAGAGGTGATTATTTGGGAAATTTCAAAATCAATCATATGTTTTACAATTTTCCATAAAATTTCATTTGAATATACATCCAATCATTAATGTGTTTCCATAGTACCTGAAAAACACCTAAATCGATTGCCGCATCCATCTTCTATAGGGCATCCTCTTGTCGGAACACATGCCCTGGTGTCAGACGCACTTCCAACACATTCCTGACCGCCAAATTGAGCATACACAGCTACAGCCCGTCTGCGAGTCTAAAAATGTATACAAGTAAAAAAAAAAGCATAAAAATGTTCATTATATTTCAAGACATAAATGTTCAATGCTAATCTACTAATAGTTAGTTAAGTCCAGATAAGCAGCTAAAAATCATTCTATATTTAAAGTCGAAGAAAAGATCTTCACTGACATTTCAAATGTTACACCATGCAATGCACTCTGATTTTGTAATAAAACTATAGCTAAAAGACTACTCAATTTATATAGCGATGCTGCTGTCAGCATACCAACAACATCTTTTATATTATCTTCGTATTTAAATCTACTTGGAAGATAAATTCCTAATTAATCATTGCCTTCAGACAGGCAATATTTTATTGAGAGCAGTAAAATTTCTAACCACATGGTGGTACATGATATTATTGAAGTTTTAAACAATGATATATAATTAAGAACATTTAATAAGACAGCTGCTGTCACCGAAATCAAGAATTAATGAATTAAGTTTAATGGGTCGGCATAGTTGTATGTGTTACACAATAAGAAGTGTATTAATATACATATAGTATTGAAAAAAAACTGACCACTTTTTTTTTAGATTAGGACAAATAAGAATAGGCAAGTAATCCCTATTATATTTTAAAATAATTTTTTAAACCATATTTAGGTTTACATTTGTGTTTTCCTTCTTGATTGTATCCACACATATGAATAAGAATTACTAATGGCAGGCTCTTGGCTTCCTTGCAAGTTTCTCCTTATCTTCTGTTTCAGTTTGTGAAAATGAAGAATACTGCACTGCCACAGTAAAATCCAGGAGCATCAAGGACAGGGTTGGCAAAACCCAATTTAGAAGATAATGGTAAAAAGTAGGTTCAGACACCCAAGTTTTCTTTAAAAAGGGGCAGATTCATTGAAAACTTAATGAAACTTTGAGTGCCTGGACCTACTTTCTACCATTATCAGTTTGTAAAGCACACCATTGATTCACAATTCTTCAAACTTACTACACTAACCTTACCAAAAGCCTGTCCTTCCTTGAGTTACCTCGTCAGTAAATGACAAAAGACCAAGAGGAGAGGATGGCTCCCTACCATGTACCAGATCACTTAGCTGTCCTTAGTCTTCCCATTTGCTGAAGGAACCTAGCATTTGTCAGGGCTTAGAAGCAAATGTTTTCTAAAGTACATAAGCATATCTCAGATAAATATAATCAGAGTTACAGTCGTTGGAACTTTTTGAGTTGTGTAGCTTGCCGTTTTTGCTCTGTGAAAAACATATTCTGTGTAATAGATGGAGCTCAATGTACTTGGTAAATTGTTGCAATAAAAAAGGTGTCGACAATAAAACTGTTTTATTACATTTCCAATTACTTCATAGCAATGCATGTCAGCAATAGCTGGGTGGAGAACCCATTAAGATTAACAAACCTGCGTTTTTGAGCAGCCGTCACATTCAGACCATGGACCAAAATCTTGCCATTTACAATTCACTGGGGTTGATTGACTGCAGAAGAAAATATCACTTAGTAACAATATATCCATATACTGTCTGCCGCGTCAAAAACTGCCATTATTGCCACACGGAAAATCCAAGTGAAAATTGCTGAAAGGCATATGCATTAATTCTCTGTTTTCATTCACGTATAATTGAAATGTCCTCTTTTATGTCAGAATAATGCTGACCATGCATATATTTCAGATTAAGTGAGTCCTTGGAAATATAGTTTACAAAGAGGGGATTAAACTGACAAGGTGACATGTTGTTAAGCCGCAAGCTAGGTAGAGCAATGCATTCAGTTCCTCTCCATCCTCTATATCTATGTACGTTGTATCATATCTCCATGTGTCTGCTTGCTAACTGTTTCCTAGGTGTCAACGTGCCTGGAGCCTTGTTCACTGTACTAGCGATCAGCTACTTTTTATGTATTACTTCATAAAAAGCAGCTGATCGTTAGTTTTAGCCAACAGCCAGCACTTTAAAAATTGCTGAATTACAATCATTATGAACCTTAGCCAGTGCGTTTGGTCACTTATAATATGCCTGAGAGTTATGGGGGTTCTAAATCAAAAGGCTGAGGTTATCCTTGTCTTAAAAAGATACTATAGTGCTAGAAATACAGATTTGTATTCCTAGTACTATACTTCCCTCTCCCCACCCCCCTCACAACCTCTCCCCTTTGGGAGTGTAAGGGATAAAATACCCTTACTGTACTATCCAAATTCCAGCGCTGATCTCCCTTAGCGCTGGGTCGGCGCTCTGCCCCCTCTGACATTAGCCGACAGAGGATGGTGTGCGAATGCATGGCGAGTGAAGCGAACGCATTAGGCCCTAACCATAGGAAAGCATTGCTACAATGCTTTCCAATAGGGATTTGACTAATGCTGGATTTTCTCATGCAGAGCGTGAGGATGTCCAGCGTCAGGCGATCAAAAGTCGCCTAACCACCAGAAAATGCCTCTAGTGGCTGTCTGATTGACAGCCACTAGAGGCGGCCTTAACCCTGCAATGTAATTATTGCAGTTTATCAGAAACTACAATAATTAACATTGCATGTTTAAGGAGACAGGGACATTGCACCCAGACACTTCTGGGTGTCCATAGTGTCCCTTTGTGTCCCTGTGCACTGCACAACCAGTACGAGTGCCAGAGGGTTGTGTGCAATCCTGCATAGGCATAGTTCATTTTGAATAATACATGTATTTATCAATAATAAATATATCAGCTAGTTAGAGCAGTAGTAACCTCAGACACAGTATCTGCCTACCTCAATTCTACAGATTTTAAGCTTGTTTGAGCAGGGCTCTCTTCACCTTCAAACATCCCCTCTATAATTCTAAACCGCTGTGGTATATGTTGGTGCTATATAAATGTTAATAATAGTAGAAATTATAAATTTTTCTATTGTTCAGCAGGACTCAATACAAAATGATAATCTGTTTTCTAGTTTATAACGATACTTTAAACTCCTCTCCTGTAAAATACAGCATTGAATCTTTACACAAATTGAACTGACCTTGAAAATGTTGGAGCAAATAGAACAATTCCTAATACAGGCAGTGTGAATAGAAACAGCACCTGAAATAAAAAAAATGAATAATAAAAAAATTTTTTTTTTAAAAAAGCAAACACATTTAAATGTACTAGAATGCACTCTGGGTAGACTCCAAATCGCTTAACAAAATTTATTCACGAAACTCTGAATTGTAGCAACCTAAAAGCCAAATTGCACATAAAAAATTTTTATTTTCCATATTGAGGATACGTCTCGGCAATGCATTTGATTTAAGAACATGGAATGCAGTGTTTCACTATGCTTATTCTGCTATTCTTTTACTGTGCGTAGCTTGAAATTGTGGAATAAAGTGTATATTCCTTAGAATAGTGAATGTGCTGCCCCCTGCTGGACAAATTTATAATACTTTATCAATAAAATTAAAGGAATACCCTAATGCAGGGGTTCCAATTATTTTTTCCTGTGGAACCCTTTGACATATTGTGTCAACATCGTGGAACACCCCTACCCGTTCCCCCCACCCCCCAAAAAAATTGCATTGTAGCATAAACCTTTCAATTAGCAGAGCATAATGTTTTCTTTTTTTGGCAAATTTAGTTTTTTTGCTATATATATATTACTTTCTACAGATAGCAAACAGATTGTAGTACTCAGGAGCAGGTGTGCTTCTGTGTGTACAGTTGGTGCTTGTACATAATTTTAGCATTTTAATACAGGGATGTGTACGTAATGTTTGCATTTGCGTGCAGAGGTGTGTTTGGATGCATTGTTGGATTTTTAAATGCAGATGTACATTTGTGTGTAGAATATAATTTCAGGGGTGTTCAGTGGTGTCTTTGTATGTCATGCTTGTGTTTGCAGGAGTGTGTGTTGTGTTGGTGTTTGATTGCTGGGATGTCTGTACATGTACTGCCACATACATACTTACACATTCCATACATATTAACAAACATAAACACACCGACACATACACAGTCATATACACACTAACACAGACACACACACTGACACATATACACACACCTTGACACACAGATACACAAACTGGCACATACACATATATATAATATACCTATTAGTAGGTGTATTGCCCATGGACACTTACTTCTAATGGGATTCAAAGCTGGGTTTCACAGTTCTAAGATAGTAACTGTTCCCCCTTTAGTACATTGAAACAAATGTGTAAGTAGGAAAACTAAATCTGTTTTATCCCGCAATCCATGAACCAGTTTAGTAGCCCTTCTCTGAACCCTCTCTAAGGTATCAATATCCTTCTGAAGATATGGTCTCCAGTACTGTGTACAATACTCCAAGTGAGGTCTCACCAGTGTTCTGTACAATGGCATGAGCACTTCCCTCTTTCTACTGCTAATACCTCTCCCTATACAACCAAGCATTCTGCTAGCATTTCCTGCTGCTCTATTAAATTGTCTGCCTACCTTTAAGTCATCAGAAATAATCACCCCTAAATCCCTTTCCTCATATGTTGAGGTTAGGACTCTATCAAATATTCTGTACTCTGCCTTGGGTTTTTACGTCCAAGATGCATTATCTTGCACTTATCCACATTAAATGTCAGTTGCCACAATTCTGACCATTTTTCTAGTTTACCTAAATCATTTGTCATTTGGCTTATCCCTCCTGGAACATCAACCCTGTTACATATCTTAGTATCATCAGCAAAAAGACATACCTTACCATCAAGACCTTCTGCAATATCACTAATAAAAATATTAAAGAGAATGGGTCCAAGTACAGATCCCTGAGGTACCCCACTGGTGACAAGTCCAAGCTTCGAATATATTCCATTAACTACAACCCTCTGTTGCCTGTCACTCAGCCACTGCCTTACCCATTCAACAATATTTGAATCCAAACTTAAAGATTGCAGTTTATTGATAAGCCTTCTATGTGCAACAGTGTCAAAAGCCTTACTGAAATCTAGGTAAGCAATGTCTACTGCACCACCCTGATCTATAATTTTAGTTACCCAATCAAAAAAATCAATAAGATTAGTTTGGCATGATCTCCCTGAAGTAAACCCATGTTGTCTCTGATCTTGAAATCCATGTGTTTTTAGATGTTCATCAATCCTATCCTTTAACCCCTTCCCGACCGTGGACGGAAATTTTCCGTCAACCTTGTCCTTCAGTTAAGGACCGTTGACGGAAAATTTCCGTCATTTTCTTAAGTTAACCCCAGATCGCCGCAATCGCGGCAATCGCGGGGTTAACGGTGCTCCGGTCTGCCTCTGCATTAGAGGCAGACCGGGAGCACCCGATCGGGCTGCCCCAGCACCGGTGCTCGCTCTGACAGCATGTGACAGCATGTCAGAGCGAGCACATGTGCTCCACATACTCACCTTCCGCCTCCCTGCACTTCCGGGTTCTGTGTGAAGTGCAGGGAGACGGATCAGTGCTGATCTGCTTCCCTGTGTAAAAAAAAAAAAAATTAAAGTTAAATCCCACCCCCCCTGCCCCTGTTTTAATAAAATTAACCCCTTCCCTGCCAATTGATCACTGACTACAGTGATCAATTGGCAGGGTATACATTTTAATGTCATCTGATTTTTTTTTTTAACCCCTGAGGGTTAATTATTTTTTTTTTAACCCTCAGGGGTTAAATTTATTTTATTAATTAATTTAAATATTAAAAAATTATATATTTAGCTAGCTGGGATGGGTGGAAGTTAGTGGGGAATTGGGGAATTTGGTGTTAGGCTAACTAGGGGTTAACGTTAAAAAAAGTTTTAAAATAAGCTTTAAAAAGGTAAAAAAAATTTTTTTTTAAATGTTTTAGTAACGTTTAAGTAAAAAAAAAAAAAATACCACCCCCTTTACCCAGTCTAAATAAAAATTAACCCCTTCCCTGCCAGCTGATCACTGCCTACAGTGATCAAAATACAGATCACAGTATTATACTGTGATCTAATTTTTTTAACCCCTGAGGATTAATTTTTATTTATTTTTTTTAACCCTCAGGGGTTCCATTTATTTCATTAATTAATTTAAATATTTTATAATTAAATATTTTGCTAGCTGGGGTGGGTGGGAGTTATGGGAAAATGGGGAATTTACGGTTAGTGCTGCTTACTGCTAGTTAGGGGTTAACGGTAAAAGAAAAGTTTAGAAAAAAAATTAAAAGTGTAAAAAAAGTTAAGATAGTGTAAAACATTTAATAAGTAAAAAAAAAGTTTAAAAATGGGTTTTACAAAGTAAAAAAAGTTTTACAAAGTAAAAAAATACATTTAAAAATGCTCATTACCACTACACTTGGTACAAGCTAGCGGAAATATTATCCCACGCTAAGGTTCAAAATATGCCTTTTGAATTACCCTGGGATGTCTTCTTTAAGAAATGATATGCCTTTATGGTGTAATTGGATGATATAGCCTTGTAAAATACTCTAAAATGGGACATGGACACAGCGTAAAAATTCAAAGTTTGGAAAAAACTGGAATGGCTGTGTCTCAAATGTGCCCCTTCAATGTCCACATATACCTGGCAAAGGTACATACGGGGGTATTGCTGTACTCAGCGACATAGCTGAACAACATATGAAGTAGTATACAGTCGTAGTACACATAAGGTTTGCAAAATATACTGCGCAAACTCACTTTGTGTGTCAAAAAGGCAGAAAAAATGCTTATTACCACTACACTTGGTACAAGCTAGCGGAAAAATTATCCCACGCTAAGGTTCAAAATATGCCTTTTGAATTACCCCGGGATGTCTTCTTTAAGAAATGGTATGCCTTTATGGTGTAATTGGATTATATAGCCTTTTAAAATACTCTAAAATGGGACATGGACACAGCGTAAAAATTCAAAGTTTGAAAAAAATGGAATGGCTGTGTCTCAAATGTGCCCCTTCAATGTCCACATAAACCTGGCAAAGGTACATACGGGGGTATTGATGTACTCAGCCGACATAGCTGAGCAACATATGAAGTAGTATACAGTCGTAGTACACATAAGGTTTGCAAAATATACTGCGCAAACTCACTTTGTGTGTCAAAAAGGCAGAAAAAATGCTTATTACCACTACACTTGGTACAAGCTAGCGGAAAAATTATCCCACGCTAAGGTTCAAAATATGCCTTTTGAATTACCCCGGGATGTCTTCTTTAAGAAATGGTATGGCTTTATGGGGTATTTGGATTATATAGCCTGGTAAAATACTCTAAAATGGGACATGGGAACAGTGTAAAAATTTAAAGTTTGAAATGAACTGGAATGGCTGTGTCCCAAATGTGCCCCTCCGATGTCCACATATACCTGGCAAAGGTACATACGGGGGTATTGATGTACTCAGCTGACATAGCTGAGCAACATATGAAGTATTATACAGTCGTAGCACACATAAGATTTGCAAAATGTACTGCGCAAATTTACTTTGTGTGTCAAAAAGGCAAAAAAACGCTTATTACCATTACACTTGGTACAAGCTAGCGGAAAAATTATCCCACGCTAAGGTTCAAAATATGCCTTTTGAAATACCCTGGGATGTGTTCTTTAAGAAATGGTATGCCTTTATGGTGTAGTTGTAATATGTAGCCTGCTCAAGTGCTCCAAAGTGGGCACGGACGCATCAAAACCCTCCATGAAAATTCACACTTAAAAACCTTAACTTGTTACGTCTCTTTTATAGCAGTGTAACTTCACAAAATAGTGTCTAGGTCATACATTGGGCATATTGTTTTACTCAGAAGACTTAGCTGAGCATAATTTGGGGGTTTGAACTTAGTGGCACATATGAAATGTACAAAATGCCCAGCAAAAATGTAATCCGTATGTAAAAAATGCCCAAAATTATTTTTTACCACATACTTTGGCATATATTGGTGAAAAAATGGGGGCATGTTAAGGCACAATATGCACCATATGAGATACCCTGGAGTGTCTACTTTTATAAATGGTAGGCCTTTGTGGGTTTTTTTTGAACAGTCAAACTGCTATAATACCCCAAATTGAAGCATAGGCCCATTAAATCCGCCTCTCAAAATTCTACTGTAAATGTTGAAACGGACAGGTCTCCTATATGGCACTGTAGCTTCACGAAATAGTGCCAAAGACATACAATGGGGGTATCGTTGTACTCAGCAGAAGTAACTGAACACAAAATAAAACTTTGTACAGGAATAGCACACACCAACTTTACAAAATATACATGGGAAGTTCTTTGTTATAAGTTTGTGTGCCAAAACTCCAAAAAACTAAATTTTACTCCAATATTTAGCAGAGATTGGCGGTGAAATGGCTACTTAGAAAGTGTCAAAAAAACCTTAGGACAATAGCCTGTGATGTCTACTTTATATAAATATATACTTTTGTGTGGCAATTTTGTTTTCTTTTATGGCTATTAAGCTTACAAGACAAACATACAAAATTCTAAAATCGCTCTACATTAAAAGTTTATTTTACTCCTTGTGCTTTATGACCTGTAACTACCAAAAAAAACTTTAAATCCCAGACACATTATATATTTTGTAAATCAGAACAACTAAATAAATTTATTTTTAATTACTTTCTTTAACCTGCACTAATTAGGCACACATTATTATTGCAAAAACTGTACAAAAAACACAAAATTTTTCTTTTTTTTGCATTTTTCTGTATTTTTTAAATAATAAATAAGCATTTATATATATATATGTTACATCAAATTAAAGCCCTTTATGTCCTTTAAAAAACAGTATATAATATGTGTCGGTGCAATAAACGAGAGAGATGCAAATTGCAGTTGAACGCATACAGCAAGAAAATGCAAAAATTGCTTGTGTCATTAAGCGTAAGACAAGCTTCTGAAGCTGTGTCCTTAAGGGGTTAACATGGTTTCCATCACTTTCCCCACTACTGAAGTAAGGCTTACTGGCCTATAGTTGCCAGACTCCTCCCTATTACCTTTCTTGTAAATCGGCACAACATTCGCTAACTTTCAATCTTCTGGGACTACTCCTGTTAACAATGATTGGTTAAATAAATCTGTTAATGGTTTTGCTAGTACACCACTAAGCTCTTTTAATAGCTTTGGGTGTATTCCATCAGGTCCCATTGACTTATTTGTCTTTACTTTTGACAGTTGAAATAGAACCTCTGTCAAAAGTAAAGACAAATAAATCAATGGGACCTGATGGAATACACTCAAAGCTATTAAAAGAGATTAGTGGTGTACTAGCAAAACCATTAACAGATTTATTTAACCAATCATTGTTAACAGGAGTAATATGCAGTAGGTATTGCCTTGTCTGCAAGCATACATTCTGAGATATTATTTTAATTTATTATTTTTAAAGTTTCATGCTCAAACAAAATAGCATACACAGTTGAGTTTTCTTAAAATGCATAACATATAACATAACACAAAAAAAGATAAAGGTGTGAACATCACGAGTACAGAAAAATGTATACTATAGAACATTATGTGGAATACCGGATGATACTTAAGCAAGAATAGGCTTTTGGTTTTTCCCAGCTGATTCTAAGCAGATTCTAATATAGGCTCCTTACAAAGCTGATCTGTATTCACATATATTTTTTTGCTATTACAAGTTGTGTTCCACTTATTGATACATTTAATATCTTTCTGTCTACTGGTGATGTACAGACCCTTTCTGTATATTGTTATTATAAAAGAGTGATCATGGCTGAAGTATAATAAATTTTAGCAATTAATCAACACTGTATGTAATCTGGTCTATGTTAAATAATGCACAATGTGTATTTTGTGAAAAAACCCAATGTAGATTGTCATTTAATCTATGATCATCCTTAATTAGCACTTCTCTTGAATTGTTGCCAATACTTTTATGTGTCATTTTAGACCTTAATATTTGACACAATGTATTACATCTGTTGTTTTTATTTTCATCTAATGCTTCTTATTCACCTTAAAGGGACACTAAAGGCACCCAGACCACTTCAGATCATTAAGGTGGTCTTCATGCACTGTCCCTGTCCTCTTAGTCCTACAATGTAAATCATTGCCGTTATTGACAAACTGCAATGTGGGGGAATTGGTGTCGGATTTGTTCCCAACGTAGGATGTAGCTGTCTCTCACCAAGAGCGACATATTTTTGTTAAGTATAGAAGTAAATAAATATTTTAAGATTATTAACCATGGGAAAAGTTTAGTTTTATTTATTTATTATTATTATAATTTATTGTTTTTCTGTTTTCTGTTTCTTTTCCTTTTTATGCTTTTCTCTATATGAATAATTCCTACAAGTTAAGAGTTAAGAGGATAGATATCTAAGATTTACATGCATAAAAGGTTTATTGTGTCTTTCGTAATGATTCTATAGTTCTGTATGGTCATGCTCGAGCGTCATTTTAGCGTGTTATAGAAGCAATGTTCCATCAGTCTATTAGGTCTTGATGAACAGATTTCATATTTTCTAAAACAAAATTCTGTAAAATCTTAATAAAGATAAAATTATATATATAAAAAATAAATAAATAAAGGCACTAGAGGCACTTCTGGGAGTGTACCTGACTCTTGGCACCTTAAATGACACAGGACATCCTCACAATCTGGACGAGGACTTTCAGCGTTAGTGAAAACCCCACAGTAAAGTATTGAGTCAATGTTTTCCTATGGGGAGGGCGCTCACAGCACTCACCGAGTATGTACATTAGGTGCCCCCATCAGGTGACGTTGGAGGAGGTGGAGTGTGGACCCAGCACCGAGTAACATTGGCATTGGAATCAGGTAAGTGATTAAAGTGATTAAAGGTTTTCTACCCTTTAGGATCCAGAGGGAGGGGCTGCAAGGAAGGGCTTGGGGCATAGGGCACTATAGTGTTAGGAATACAACTTTGTAATCCTAGCACTAAAGAATCACTTTAACCATTATTTTTGAATGCTTGCCATTTACCCATTTATCATTCTTTATCAATCTTTCCGATTCTCTTCCTGACAAAAAAAGTGTTCTCTTTGGCTACTCTTTTTTCCACCACTCTATAACTGGCAGCCTTCTGAAATGGATACTGGCAGAATTTACTAAGACAAAAGCTCTTTTAAGAACACCTTGATAGAAAATTCCTCATTGTTTCATTTTTCCTCTTTTTTTTTTACTGACCAAGGCTGCCACCATATATCACGTTATCCCATACAGAACCATTTTGTGGGGACCCCTGGCATACACTCATACACTTGCACACATGGACAAACAGACACGCATTTACACACAATCACAAATACACAGAGCCAGACACTAACATATGTGCTTGCTTTACATATATGGTTAATCTATTTGGCTCCAGAGAAACTCTCAAGCACTCCATCCCCCCCTTCCGCCCCAAAACCACCCCAACAACCACACCACACCTTAGAGTATTTTGCCCGATAAACCTAGTAAATATGTAATCTAGCACCCACATTTATATTTGTATGCCACTAATTCTTCCTTCATGCTTTTGTTTCCTAGTGGCATAAATGCAATCTTTACCTATGTAGATAGCTTACTTATATGAAAATAGTAAAAGCACACTCATAAAAGCATACATAGAAATATAGAATGTGACGGCAAAAAAGAGCTATTCGGCACATCTCGTTTTCCCAATTTTCTTAATACTTTCATTAGTCAATCTCTTATATCTTGTATAGTCTTACACCTATACTACACATGCTTAAACTCCTTTACTGTGTTAACCTCTACCACTTCAGATGGAAGGCTATTCCATGCATCCACTACCCTCTCAGTAAAGTAATACTTCCTGATATTATTTTTAAACCTTCGTCCCTCTAATGTCCTCTTGTTGTGGTAATCTTCCTTCTTTTGTATATATTCTCCTCCTTTACGGCATTGATTCCCTTTATATATTTAAAGTTTTCTATTATATCCTCACTGTCTCGTCTTTCCTCCAAGCTGTACATGTTAAGATCAAACATGTGTACCTTGTGGACATGGTATCTATTTGATATGCTATCCTCTGTATTTCCTTAATCTACATACACTATGCTTGTAGTGTGATTGGAGTGTGAGATTTTAACTGCATCCCACACAATTCAAAATTAGCCAATTATTGAAAACTGCAAGCCATGAATATTATTATTATTATTATATCTTAATAAGTTCCCCTTTTACAGATCAGTAACTGTGCAAGCAGATCTCTTTATCTACATAAAGCAAAATGCATACAATACTCTCTAGCAAACATTTTTTTTTTTTTTTAATGTATGAAATGGCAATAAATGTTCTAGGATACCATGTTATTATACATCAGACTAAGTTCAGGGAAGGTAGTACTTCAGACAATAAGCATGGTATAATTATTTCCCCACAATGACGTCCTTGGTGTTGGTCTAATGGATAGATTTTTTAGTACTAACAAATAAATGTAATAAACAATTGAGAGGAGAAACGGCCCAGTTATAGAGTTGTATTGAAGTAAAAGATACAGCTGAGAAATGTAATAATTAGTAAAATATACCGATATATAATAATAAAGAACTATGATACATCTTCACCACTATTTTTCTGTTCCCATTAATTTGTTTGTCATTTATATCATATTTTCTATCTCCATGATAAAATTGTAACATTGTAAAGGGCTGCAGAGTACGTTGGCACTATATAAAAATTACATAATAGTGATAAAAATATGTTATCCCAGGACATACTTGAAAATGAAAGAAATCTCAATGTATTCTTCCAGGTAAAATATTTAAGGAATAAATAATATATAATTGCAAAAAGGGAGACAATTATATATTATTATCATTGCAGTAGAGGGGTATGTTATATTTGATAAAAATAAAAGTAGTGGAACAGTTATGTACTAATAGAGAAATATAAAACAACATTGTAAGGAGTAAATAGAATTTTGGAACAATGATACAAGTAGTAACTGATTTATCATTTCTTATAAAGTACTTTACAAAGTTGGGCAGTTATTCATAGTTAAAAGGTCACAGAAAGTATAGAAAGTAACATACAGACACAAACGCAATAACTAAAAAGAATATATGCTATATAGAATATATAGAATTAGAAAGTAACAAACTGCCAGAAAAGCGATTATTAAATAGACTATATACTATAAAGATAAGAAAGCATTGGTAATATTTAAACTACACAATATTTCTGGAAAAGACTATCTACCTAATTCCACAAACTGCATTAATGTACAAAATAACTTAATACATATAGTTTTTTATCTAGGCAGCGAGTTGTAAAAGAATATGCCACTCTTACCCTCATGTTTCACAGAATTGTTTCAGTAAAAGCTTGAGTGCTGTTCTTTGTCTAGAAGTTGCACTGGCGTATATGTACCATTTGTAGTATTTTATTAGAGGGGTGGGTGGTCATTTTCAGAGACAGGGGAGTCATTTTCCATTCCAGCATCCTGTTTGTTACAGTTCCCCTACTTTCTATCATGTGCCATTTGGCTTTTGACCCCCCAGCTGTTTTGTTGACAGAGAGCAAGTTACTGTAAAGCATTCAGAAAGATAAGGAAAATAGATGGATGTCCAGAAGCCTAAGGATTTATCCTAAGGATTTATAACCGTTTGAGTAATCTCCGGGCCTTGCTAATTTTCAATTCATGTATAGAAAGTGGCATGCAGATACTGACACCAAATTGTGCATTTTAAAATGAAGAGTCATTTATTGTACAGCGCTATGGAATTTGTTGGCGCTATATAAATAATAAAATAATAATAATAATAATAATTGAGTTGTATACAATGAATAACATCCAAAGGGCTGTCATGATAAATTGTCTAAAGAAGGAGGAATGAAAGTTGGCACAAGATAACCAGGGTTCCAAAGAAATGAGTAACGTTAGACACAAAATGGAAGCCTTTTTTTCTAGCATTGTTGTTGATGTTTTTAATTAGTTTTGGGATGCTGGGAGTTTTGCCCAGCTATGGATTCCAGGTAAGTAAAACTTCTTTATTTGCAGGCAAATAAAGGTTGGGTCAAATTAATAGTGCTCAAGAGAGTACATTACAGAGAATTCAGAGAAAAGGGTTGGAGTAACCCTTAATTAATGACAGGATTAAAGTTAAAAACAATTAGGAACATCATAATCATAGACTGCCAAATATCAAGTCAAATTTAATACCATAATAATAAGAAGAAAAAATGTGCAAGGATTGTTTACACTTATAACAAGTACATTTTTGCCTTGTACGTGCTCAGCTAAACCAGTAGATGTCACCTCTCATTGCTAGGTCAGATCATTGCTTGTATCGCTCCTCCTATATAAAAAAAAAAAAAACAATTAAAATAAGAGTTAAATTCTTCCAGTACCCAGTTTCAATTTTAAACAACAAAAGTGACAGTCTTAGATCAAGCTAGAGTTACACGTTTTTACACCACTTTGCAGTCACTGTCTCCAGCCACTAGAATTAAAATATTTAGAATCCAGACCGTTGCCTGGAGCTGTTGGTACATGAAAATCTTATTTGGAGTCAAAATGACCGATAACAAAAATACATGATGCACAAGACATTTTGTAAGGCCAAATATTAAATCAGTACCTGAAAAATCATTAAAGACAACTAAAATTACTCACGTTATAAAAATAACCTTGTACATCAGTTTAGTTTAGTATTCCCCCTCCCTATTCAGTTTTTCACAACACAAGAAAATCCCATGTAAATCATGTTTAGAAACTGTCAAAAAAGACAGGCAGCCCTAATAAAATGTTAATGTCTGTTATCAAAGCATTGATCTGAGTCCCATTAACTGTGTGTATGTGAGAAAGGCTTTGAAGTAAGTACCTACCAAACCCCAGATAGATACAGACTTTTGGAACATATGCCCATTTATCAAGATAATATAAACTGGTAATGCTCAATTGCCCAAACACCGAGGTGGATCAATATTCATTTAACAAAAAAAAATGGCAATCTTTTTTTTTTTTTTTCAATTCTTTATTTTACTCTGAAAACACGGGAGACATTACAGAGGGCATACATCTCAGCATGTACAAAATAAACTATCGCATTATGATAGAACAAGGTATACGACAATAGGCATCAGACGGGGTTGTACATCGATCACTTATGATACAAGCGTTACAGTAGTGAGACAGCATTAAGATTGCTCTGGATAAGGTAGCAGCGTAAACTCTATGTCGCAAGTGATGTTAATGCAGACTGATAACTCGAAGTATAAGATATTGTCTTCACCAGGTATGTAGTCATGTCTGGATAAAACAGAAATAAAAATCTGTCCAAAATAAAGAATCCCAAAAGATGGGTTATAAGAAAGAGTCGAGGAGACAGGGAGAGGAAAAGAAAGGAAAGAAGAGAATGTAGAGAAGAAGAGGGTTAGGGGTCTCTGGTTGGGGTTAGCATGTGGAGCATCCATAGATCCCCCAGGCGGGGGGAGGGGGAAGCGCAGGGGGGGAAATGGCAATCTTATACATGGGGTATTAGCTATATTTAGGAGATACAGCTACACCAAATGTGGGAATATAAATCAACAATGAAATGTGCTTGAAAAAATGCAGAATACCAATTACCATTACCTTTTGCTAAAATTACCCATATAATGGAGCACAAATTTTCAGAGGCAATATATATGATAATTTGTGAAGGTTTTAGGAGGGAGAACATGGTGATATGAATTGAACAACCTCCAACTCTAGGCTTTACTGTACGTGTGCAAGTAGTTAGTCAATTTTATTTATCTATTTATTGGTTCATTTATTTATTTAACCATTCATACATAGCAATCATATATAGAGTGCTATACATTTTCTGCAAAAATAACATTGGTAATTATACAAACAGAAGATAAGTAATTAAACGCACTCAAACAAAAGGAGAAGAGAACTCAGCCCATGACCTTACAGTATGGAGAGGAATCGTACAACGAAACAAATGGTTGTGGAGAGAACAATGTGAAGTATCAGAAATTAGATTTATGCACGGATGGAAAATGTAGTTTGTATTTAAAGTTTCTTTAGAAAATAAAAACTATTCATCCAAACCAAACTTCGCCTATGTTTTGTTTCTGTTTGTCAGAACTTCAAACATTTTCATTGTAAACAAAATTCAGGCAAATCAATTTCATTTTTTACCTCTCTCCCCACCACTTCCTTCCTCCAGTCTCCTATGAGTTAAATTAACAAATAAAACCTTACAGGGGTCAATATGACTCCCATATAACTATAACTATATGCTGTGGCAGGGGCATGTATACTAAACAACAAGCAGCCAGTAGCTTCTCCCTGATATAAAAGACTAGCAACTGGGCAGCTATTGTTGCCCTCTTGCTAATAAAATAAAGAGGCACCTGACACAGGTCCTCAGCCCCCACAGTGGGGCTACAAATAAATAATAAAGTGGGGGTATGGCGGAAGTAACCTCGCCACTGGCTCCTGGAGGAGCCTGCTTGCCAGCCTCCTGCCTCAGGACTATGGGCCCTGCAAAATACACTTTAAAAGGCTCTGACCACCCGTGTGCTTGTTAAGCCTAATTGACACCTTGTAACGAGTTCCACTGCAGCGTTCTATTTGTTCATCTGGGTGGCCGCAATTCCTATGAACGACCACGAGGTGGCGGCCATCTTGTTCGCATGAACGCAGGCAGCAGTGTTTGGTCGTCGAGTTCATGGAACTGAAATCGGACACTGAAACTCCCGAACACCGCTGGACTCCCATAATCGCCTGCGTTCGGTTCTATACAACTTAGAAGGGCACTGTTCACTGAAATCGTTCCCAAGAACAAGGTGAACAAGCTACACATGTTAACTATGGATTCCATTCTGTGTTTTATGCACTTTTATACTCCCGAAAGAGACCTACCGTAAGCACTGATGTCATGGAACTGTTTTGGGCATAGGGCCATGTGTGCAGTCAGTCACAATTGACTTCCATGGAGAAACTGAACCGATCTGGGTGATTTTTGGATTTGTTGGTCACCCAGATCGGGGCTATCCAAGAATGTAACTTTGTGTGGTTTCTATGGATTTTGGGGGTACTTTTGGGATGTTTATAAATTGTATGTTTTTGTACTTGAGAGATAATTTAATTATATGTTTGCTTCTCAGATAATTATCTCTCAGGCACAAAGGATCATGGGAGGGATTTCCCTGTATTCTTGTATTGGAAACTCCTTGCAGGTGCTTTTCCATAAAAGGCCGTGTGTGGCCTCCAATAAACCAAATAACTCCCAGCATTAAGCCTTGGCTCATGTGTAGGGGGAACAGCTATACTGCTATATCACTTGCTGTTTAACTGGCTATACAGCGATACTCTCTTGGAGGAGAGGTCTTCCCACTGGAAGCTGGATCCAGGCATTTGTCCAGGGTGGGAATGGACGCGAGATCTCAGGCAAGCTGCAGCGGCTAAGGGGGCTACAGTGGTTATGGTGTCCGGTGCGGTGCTTATGGTACTTGGTGAGCACTAGGAAGCGTGATTGGTGGAGGTACCCAGTCGGGGTGCCAGGCGGCTCGCCACAGGGGGCTCAGCGGGTGGAGCCTATTAAATAAAAAGAATGAGTGGACGTAGTATCCCCCCTCAGTTCCCAACTATAAGTGGTGGGTGGGGTGTTCAATTATAATAATGGGGTGGGATCTAATGTTCCCCCTCAACCTCCATCCATAGGCGGCAGATGGGGGCTCTAATTATAATAACTGAGTGGACCCCAAGTCTCTAGCCACCCCACTCCAAAAAAATATATCTGTCTACTCTCTCACTCAATAATAGTGAGGGGGGCAATAAACAAAGTTCCTATTAGGAAAAAAAATATATCTATCATCAGATGTCTTCTTCCTTCTTAAAGCTTCTTTTTTTTCCAACACCAAAAAGGTCCCATCACAACTAAAAAAAGAATTGCCAGAACCCCATAACCAGGGACGAGTAGGGGCCAGTGGATGGTCGTAAACCTCACTTATACTTATATGGGAGGCATATTGACCAACTCCATATGGTTTTATCACATGCTTAAGTGTGCAGAATTGACATAACCCATTGTATCTAATCACAAGGAGGGAGTCTGTGTCGTACAAATCAACCAAATGCATGAAATTTTAAACAAATTTGCATTTATCCGAAAATGAATGCCCCTGTCTAATGGAAATATATCCATGATTGTACTGCTATAAGGAGTACTGATTATCAATCAGTATACCATACACAGTGAGTATAATAAATTTAGAAGCAATGTTTTACAATCACAATGCATTGAATCTGAAGAAAACAAAAGAACAGGGCTTCAAATAGTAAAGTATACAATAGAGTCCAAGAGTTTGATAAGAAGCAAGAAGTCAGAGGGTACCCTTGGACACGTGACCCTGCAGAGAAGGGAAAGTGGTGTTGAAGAGGAGTGTTTATTGTAGAAGAGAATTGAACTAGTTTGGTCATATGGCCAGAATCAATTGAGATTTTTATGGAACAGCTT